GCTCATGAGCTGCCAGAAGAACCTCAAAGATCCAAATATCTTCCCTATCAGCCTGCCAAAGTGCCCAAATATCCATTCTGTAAACTTATTTGCATTAAGGCTTTTTTTTTTTCTGTTAAAATGTAACACCTGCTCCTCCTCCTCTCTAAGCACCAGTACAATAGGCAATTCTAAGAGGTTAGCAGTTTCAGTTAATTTGTCATGTCTTCTAGACTATATGGGTAAGTAGAAATAGAAATACATGGAGGAAAAGCTAGAGGATTGGAAACAGGCCTGAATGTCTAGGGTAGGAAATGAAGAGTAGGTAAACAGGTTAGTGGGTAAAGTGTAAGACCTGTTTGAACCAAGATGCTGAGTGCAAATCCAGTTCTGCTATCTGCTAGGAAAGTGGTCTCTGGATAGACACTTATATTCTGGGCCTCCATTTCGTTATTTAGCTATCAAATGATGCTGGCAAGAGGACCTGCCTTAATGGGGCAGTGGAGAATTAAATGAGTCAATACACAGCAGGCCTTCAAAGCGAGCCCAACATAAAGTGTACCCTATAGCAAGGGTTGGTTTCTCTCTTTTTTGGGTGTGGGGTATGGGGGTTAGGGCTGACATGAGATTTAGTCCTGAAAAGAACTGTTCCGGTTTTACTACCTGCTTTCAATGGCTGGACCAAAGGATTGCTTTGGTACTGGCAAGAGAGGGCAGCTGGGACTTTCTGCAAATGGCCTGGCCTGTCATGGCATTCGGGTTCTGCCTGCATGCACTGATGAAAATACAGGGTCCAGAGAGGATGAGCGGCTTAACCGAGGCTACAGGGGACTTCTTGGGGAGGAAGAGAGGAAGGAGAAACAGAGAGCCAGCCCTAGCATGGGTCCCTTCAGCACATAATGGAACCCAGGCTCTTGGCGACTTTTCTCCAGAGTCAACTTCATGGTCCCGGCTTAGGCGCTCTCCATTGTTTGAGCAAACTGCGCAAAAGCCGCCTTGCCTTCCTACACAGACCCCCACACCCCGGCGCCTGGGCGTACCCTGGAAGTCTGGCACCGAGCGGCAACTCGCTGCCCCGCTGGGAGGACGAGTCAACAGCGGGGCGGACGGGAAAAGTGACACAATCGGGCCGCGGCGCGCTCCGCGCCAGCCTCCCACGCAGCGCGGACTGCCTCGGGCCTGCAGGGGTGTGGGCTGGGGTGGGGCGGCTGCGGTGTCCCTGGTCGCACGCGTGCCCGCAGTGCTCTGGGCCCCGCGTGGCCCGAGGCCTGGGCGTGGGCGACCGAGCGCACTTTTCAGGAACGCGCCGGCCGCGCGGTTGCCGGGCCGGCTCCCAGGGCCGCCGCCCCCTGGAGCTGGATGACGGAGTCTTGAAAGACTTTCACCAAATATGGGCCGTGGCTGGAAACGTCCAGTGCCGCGCGCCGCCGGAAACCTCGAGCCCTGGCCACCGCTGGGGACCGCGGGCGCGCGGGGCGCGCGGCCGCGTCCGCGGGTCTCGCGCGGATCCGGGTCCTCCGCCCCGCGCCCTCCCGCCGCGCGGACCCCTACTCTCTGTGGCCGCAGGGATCTCGGGCCGACAAGAGCCCTACCCCGCGTTTGCCCCTCAGTTCCCGCGCCCCTCCACCGTAACCGCCGACTTCCTCCCAGCGATCACTCCAAGGAGGGATGCGGGGGGTCGGGGAATAGAGGGGAAGAAACGGGGTGGTGTGGGGGCGCTACCGTAAAGCTGGCCTCTTGCAGACACCAATTGTTCATTAAAGTGGCTACAGAAAGTGGAGTTGTGAGACTGGGTGTGCAAGCGACTATTTGATTATGGAACCCCCCCACCCACACACACGCACCCCTATTACAGGCACTCGGATCGTCCAGGGCAGAGTTGTCAGGGTTGTCATTCCTGGACCAGCAGCATCGCCACCACCTAGGGGCTTGTTACAATGTATCCAATTAGAAACTCTGGAGTGGGGCCTAGCAATCGGACTTCCAGCTAGCCCTGCAGGTACTTCTGATGTACGCAAAGTTAGAACCACTGGACTAGGTATAGACATCAGGGTAGCCAGGTTTAGGGTAGTTACTATTCTCAGATGCTAACTGACAGTGCAACATTCTTTGGGTAACCTAAAAATCACAGGCAACTGCGAGTGAAAGACTCCCCATCGCTCAGCCCCAACCAGGAGCTGCAGAGAAGGACAACAGCCCCTTCTCCGTGAATTGCAGCCCCAAGAAAGAAGGCGGCCTGTTAGTCTCTCCCGGGACACCCGGGACACCCGTATAGGGGTGGAGGGACGACAGGAAAGAAGACATGCAGAAGAATTAGCACCCGAAGCTATACTTACCCAATGCCATCACACATTTCCTCTCCTATCTGTCAACGTGAACTGATCTGTAACTCTCAGCCGAGGAGGCGAGAAGGCGACTCGACGTCTGGGGTTTCCTGGACTGTCCTTGGGCAGGATGTGAGGAGTCGCTGTTCCTCTTGCCCGATGTGGTTTACTAGCAGGCGAACCAGGACGTGGTATATGCAAAGGCTGTGCACATAGATCACTCTAGCCTCTCAGGCTACCCCACCTCCTGGCCCTGTAGCTCCAGCTTCTCCCCTATCCCCTCCCTCCACCACACACTCCCAACTTTAAATGGGCAGCTACGAAAAGCTTCTCCAAGTTTCTTCTCTGGGGCAAACTCAGTCTCCAAGGTTCTCCAGCTGAAGTCCAGAAACAAAACCCATACACACCCTCGTTAGAAAACTTTAATCTGATTTTTCAAAGGAATCTCTGGAATGGTGTGTCTTTCTGAATGCTGTGTAGCAGACTGAACCTCTTTGCTGCTCCCCCCAATAAAGGAACAAGGTATATGCGGGCCAGTTGGATCATTGAGTGTAATTTTATTTTAAATCATTATAGACAGATTGCGTGAAAAACAAGGAATTCCGAAGAATTTCCTGCTCTGGGAACAGAAGTTAAGTCTATATTTAACAACATTTGAAGCTGTCAAGAATGCTTTGTGGTTGGATAACAGAGGCAGAAAAATGTTAAAAACGCAAGCTACTGCTATACCCAAATATGGAAATATTGTTACGTCTGGTGTCTGATTCACCATCTGGAAGTACTTACAACCATGAAGTCAAATAGAAAAGACGCCACAACAGAAGCCAGGAACCATCCTCTCCATTCTCTCTCTCCTCCACCTCTTCCCACCCAATACTGAGCATACTTCTCCTTCCCCCCACCCCAAGGAAACAATGACCCGCTAAAGGCAGGGGGGGAAAAAAGTTTTCTAACTAATAGACGAATTGGCCTGTGCACTGGGTAGTGCCCAGATTTTTCTCCCTTTATTTGCATAACACCTGACAACCCATTGTCTTGAAAAGTCCCCACCCTCAGAGAGCCTGGAGATCCTACTCCCTCTAGCAAATACCTCTTGGCTTTATGAAAGGGCACTTTTGAATGAATGAACTTAACTCTTTCCTGCTGCAGTTCTCTTTATGGAACTGAGTTTTCATCCCAACAGCTTCTCATTGTGCTGGTCAGATCATTCACATAAAAGTCAGCATGGAAGGCCTTCTTAGCCAGACAGCTAAACTGTGAAGACTGGCCGGCCCTAAATATTAAAAAGGAAGAGTAGCTATCCCAGGGCATAAAAAAAGGACCTGACATCATTGTTTAAATTAAAATTACACAAGAAGATAGTTTTTGAAACTTTCCGGGAAAGTTGGTCAATTACAACAGCAGTGTTGGTGATGTTCATGTAAATTGCCTTGCAAGAGATCTTTTGCCTTGTGAAGGGTCTTCTGCTTGTGTGCCTTGCCCGTAGACCAGGATCTTAAAAACTTTAACATTTTTATTACAGAATGTTATTCTCTAAATCCCAGTTTCTGTGTACTTGGAGAGAAAGGCATTGCAATTCACCCGAAATGGAAGACTTCCAAATGGTCCCAAGGAAAGAAGTTAAAGACCCGACACAACTTTCAGCTTCAAGGAGTCGCTTTTACCCGAGGTCCATCGGGCACAATGGTGACTGCTGGAGTCTGTTTTGGCCTGGTACTGTTCTCAGGTGATGAATTCAGGCCAAATCACTCCACTGTGGTCCCCTCCGCTTCCGGCTGGCTGCTTGGTTCCCATCGCCGCCAGTCTGCCGAGAGAGGCTGGGAGGGCTCACTCGGTATTCCGCATCCGTGAGGAAGCATAAGTCAGTTTCGGAGACTCTCTTCATTTGTTTCCTCTTGGACTTCCAACCCAGGCAGGACTGGAACCAAAGTGGGAACCTCCAAAAACAAACAAGTATAAAATACCAAAAAAGGGGGGTAAGAAGGGGGACGATCTCTGCTTGGGAATTTGCCAGATGATGAGGGAAGTTGACACCCCCTCCCCTTCTCATTCATAAATGCCACGGCGGGTATTAATTTGTAATACACTTAACTTGCCTAATAAACATCATGCCAAAGCTTTGGGATTTGATCCGAGCATGCCTCTTTGAAGTCCAGAAATAGATTCCTGGCTCAGAGACCAACTCCCCCTCCCCGTTGGACTCTCAATAGATAACTTGACTCTCACCTTCGCTGTAAACATGCAAACAGCTCGCTGCTTTCCCGGGTAAGAGCTACCGTGGCAGCCGAGTCAACTCGGCATCAACCAAACAAAACGACTTTTGTTCCTCCCTCTCAGGTCCTCCCACCCTTCCCAGTCCAGACAAAGTTCTGAATACCCCCCACCACATACACACACACACACACACACACACAAACGACCCTTCCATCACCATCAACACCATCACGCCCAAAGCATCCTCCCCAGTGGAAGTCGTTATTTAAAGTGGAAAAAACGAACTGTTTTCTTGATGGATCAGGGACCAAAAAAAAAGGTGCAATGGAGCCAGGGGAGGCGCTTGGCTGCAGCCCGCGCCAACCAACATTCCTAAGATGTTTGAGAATTCTGGAACGCGCAGACAGAGCCGACGTCACTGCAACACGCGGCGCCGCCGCTGGCCGGTATAAAAGGCGGGGCCCTGGGCTCTTGGGCAGACCACGAGCGAGAGCGCCTCCGAACAGCGCCCGCGCCCTCCGCGCCTCCTCGGCAAGAACCTCGAGAGAAGGACGCCCGCAGCCGTCGCCGCCTGCGCCCTCGCTCGCCTCCCTGCCCACCAGGCCCACCGCCCCGCCGCTCCGGTCCTCCTGCGCTGGGGCCTGCTCCGACCGCTGCGCACCAGCTTGTTGGCGTCTTTGCCGCCGCGCTCGTCCCGGCTCTTGCTGCGCGCCACAATGAACTCCCGCACCGCCAGGGCTCTCGCCTTCGCCGTCACCCTTCTCCACTTGATCAGGCTGGTGAGTTGGACATTTTGGCCATCGCTTCCCCGTCCCCTCTCCAGTCTTTTTCCTTTGGCTCAGATTTCCCACGGCAGGAAAAGCTAGACTAAAAAGTTTGACGGGATGTGTGTGTGTATGGGTTGGGGGGGGGTGCGCATTTAGAGGTAGCTGTTTCTTTAAGCTCCTTGAAGACGTGTCGGGGGGCCTCATAGTGGACTCAGCCTCGGGATGGCCGCGCTGGCTCTCTGTCCATACAGTTAGAGACCCCCGTCCTTTCCCGGAGTAGCTTTGGCGCCTCTCCTGCGCACTGCACCGAGACTCACGCATTTCTTCTCCCTCTTCCAGGCGCTCTCCACCTGCCCCACCGCCTGCCACTGCCCCCTGGAGGCGCCCAAGTGCGCCCCAGGAGTCGGGCTGGTCCAGGACGGCTGCGGCTGCTGTAAGGTCTGCGCCAAGCAGCTCAACGAGGACTGCAGCAAAATGCAGCCTTGCGACCACACCAAGGGGCTGGAATGCAATTTCGGCGCCAGCTCCACCGCTCCGAAGGGGATCTGCAGAGGTAAGATGCTTGTGGTTTGGCCCCTTTAAAAAAAATAATAGTCCCCATAGTCCAGAAGTTTAGTAATTTTGAGACCATGTATGGTGATGCTTTGTTGTTGGTAGTTTGGCAGAAAGGCACATGATTTCAGCAGTCTGGAATGCAATTCAGTGTGTCTGGGCCCAACGAAAAAGCGCATACGGAAAAGTGATTCCTGACTAACTCATTGTTCTGGTCTGGAGTCTCGGGGGAATTGTAGAGAACTTTACCATAAATTGAATTTAACAGCAGAAAATATGTGTGAGTTTCAGGCCGTACTGGGGAATCTTAACTTTAAACTCTTCTCTTTTCTCTTTTGGTGATCTTTACAGCTCAGACAGAGGGCAGACCCTGTGAGTATAACTCTAAAATCTACCAGAACGGAGAAAGTTTCCAGCCCAACTGTAAACATCAGTGCACATGTATTGATGGCGCCGTGGGCTGCATTCCTATGTGTCCCCAAGAACTGTCTCTCCCCAATTTGGGCTGTCCCAATCCCCGGCTGGTGAAAGTCACCGGGCAGTGTTGTGAAGAGTGGATCTGTGATGAGGATGGTATCGTGGACTCCATGGACGACTTGGATGAGCTCCTCCTCGGCAAGGGACTAGGATTTGATGCCTCCGAGCTGGAGTTAACGAGAAACAATGAATTAATCGCAGTTGGAAAAGCCGGCTCGCTGAAGCGACTCCCAGGTAAGTGGAGACTGAGCCCTGAAGACATGATATTGAAATAGGTTCCTAGTCCGACGATTTGTAGAACCTGAGTAGCTGAATCTGTGTGCATGCCTCTGAGAAGTCTTTCATTTATCTTTCTAGTCTTTGGCGTGAATCCTGGCATCTTTCACAACCCTGTGTATGGCCAGAAATGCATGGTTCAAACAACTTCATGGTCCCAGTGCTCAAAGACTTGTGGAACTGGTATCTCCACACGAGTTACCAATGACAACCCCGAATGCCGCCTGGTGAAAGAAACCCGCATTTGTGAAGTGCGGCCTTGTGGACAACCAGTGTATAGCAGCCTGAAAGTAAGTACCCTGGGGAACCTGAAGACTTTTCCCTGGTAGGGCAGGGTAGGTGGGTGAGAGGAGCACTCTTTTCAAGAAAGAGCTATATCATCCCTGACTTTCCTTTTTTCCCTCGTTCTTATAGAAGGGCAAGAAATGCAGCAAGACGAAGAAATCCCCAGAGCCAGTCAAGTTTACTTATGCTGGATGTTCAAGTATGAAGAAGTACCGGCCCAAGTACTGCGGCTCCTGTGTGGACGGCCGATGCTGCATGCCCCAGCAGACCAGGACTGTGAAGATGCGGTTCCTCTGCGAAGATGGGGAGATGTTTTCCAAGAACGTCATGATGATCCAGTCCTGCAAATGCAACTACAACTGCCCACACGCCAACGAAGCAGCTTTCCCCTTCTACAGACTGTTCAATGACATTCACAAATTTAGGGACTAAAAGCTACCTGGGTTTCCAGTGCAGGGTGTCAAGAGGAGAGGAGTGCGAGAATCACGGAGACATGGGTGGGGGCGGTGGGGGTGAAGGGACTCATTGTAGAAGGGATGTCTTGCTCATTCTTGAGTAGCATTAAAGTATTTCGAAACTGCCAAGGGGGTTGGGCGGATGGGCACTAATGCAACCGCGATTGGAGATTACTTTGCTTCATAGTACTGGAGCACATGTTACTGCTTCATTTTGGAGCTTCTGTTAATGTTCTGTTTTCTGTTTGTAAATTATTTGCAAAGCGTATTTTTTTCTCTAGCTTTTTTTCCTTTCGGTTTCACAATTGTAATAGAGATGATAAGAATAGTTGGGCAGTGAAAGCTTTGTCCTTTGACAGAAGTTAAATGGGAGGATCTTCCATCCCTTCCTGAGGGGGGCACTCTGTGAGTGTCAGAGAGGCAGCTACCTGCACTCTAAACTGCAAACAGAAATCAGGTGTCTTAAGACTGAATGTTTTATTTATCAAAGTGTAGCTTTTCGGGAGGGAGGGGAAATGTAATACTGGAATAATTTGTAAATGATTTTAATTTTATATTCAATGAAAAGAAATTATTTATGAATTAATCATTTAATAAAGAAATATTTACCTAATATCCGAGTGTCTTCTATTCTGTATTTTTAAAAGCCATCCAAAGTTATTGGGTTGGTTTAGCTCATGTATTTAATCACTCAAGCAGAATTTATTAAGTGCTTACTACCTGTCAGCAATTATTCTAGGTGACTTATTGGGATATGACAGTGAAATAATCTATGAAAGAAAAATAGCACAATTGCCTTTGAAAATCTTTAAGAGAAAAATCTTTGTGTATAAAGTCATCTGAGAAGAATGGAGTGAATGCAGGCATTGTATAAAGCACAAGAAAGAAGCTGGAACTAAACTTGTGATTTAAAAACAATGCTTTACTTTCCTGAGCATTCACTCTGTGACTTAGGGACGGTAGTCATTTCTCATTTTAATCGTCAGGTTACTGTGCATGTCGCTTCAGTATGAAAACAGGCCTTCACCTGGAGTGCCAACCTCTAAATCCACAGGCAAGGTTGAGCATGGCTGAATACTGTCTTTCAAAATGTTGCTTGTTTGTAACTTTATATTTTTCCAATATCATTCCTAAAAATTAGAACAGTTCCTTAAAAATTCACTCTTGACTGGTATCAGAATAAAAATTGGATCTACAGGAGTCAGATTTCAATAGACAAGCTGGAAGGAATGACTTGTGTTAATCCTAATAAGCCAGTGATTAGGTAAACATGCTGTAAAATGCAAAGGAATGCCAGGAATTTCAAGTACTTTTCCAATAGCAAAGGGCTAAGCTACCCATCCCCCTTCCTTTCTATAATATACATTATATTGATGGGGGAAGGAGCAGTTGGATAGAGCTGACTATCCAGAAGGTCAAAGGCTAGATGCAGAGCATTCCTAAAAGAAAAGGACCTGAATGAAGGGTCTAGGAGAGGTGGAGAAGGCTGCATCAATGTTTGTGAAAATGTTGGTAGCCTGTGTTAGAAAAATCTACATCTTTAGAAACCACTGACAATAAACCTTTTATAGAGAGAAGTTTTTCTTTCACATCAGTCCTGGCTCCTATTCAAATCCATAGTGAGATTTCAGTCTGCACTTGGTTGAAAGAGTACTTGAATTTTTAGGCACAGGAGAAAATATTTTAAGAAGGGGGAGAGTGACAGCTCCTGGGATTCTGTAAGGCATTTTTCAAAATAGATTAATAATTTATTCTTTAATGAACAGCTACAGAAGAGCACTGCCTGAGCATCTGTGTTAAGCCTTCTGAAATGCATAAAGGTTAACACAAATGTGCTAGGAATATGGTCAAAGCCTTCCCTCTTTTGCTTTTGACAGCATCTTGATTGAACTATCCCAACTTGTACCTTCAGAATGGTTGGTTGTTCTTGCCTGAGGCATTTAAATTTTAAAGTATTTGGGGTTTAAACACCACCTGGCCTAGACGTGGATGCAGTTAAACTTGTCAATGTAATATAACATGTGAAACATAATAAAGATGTGAGAAAGAAAAGATTTATACATTCCTAAGAATCAATCTGAAGTACTGCCTCCTAAAGCTGGAGCCAACAAGTTGCTTTTCATGCAGAGAGCAAGGAGCAACATCCTTTAAATGTGTGGGGAAGTAGTACTTTTCCAAATTAGCTCAGATGTGAAACAAAAACCTACCATGAGAAAGCATTGGCTCTTTGGGTCTTATTAATCTCATCCCAAGTAAACACAATCAGGGTGCCAGGCAAGAGTCTACGTACAGTCAGAGAACTCAGTTAAAAAACAGATAAATAGAAGTAAATTAGGTCCATTTTTGGCTATAGAAAATAGTGAAAAAGATTAAAAATAATTGAGAATGGAATTACAATATTTAGAATATGTAAGATTTACCTATATCTGGAATGGAGCTCTGCTGGCTTCAACTATTGAGAAAACAAAACTCATGTATCCACATAGATAAAGTACAAGTATAAGCGTTCATTGTAATATATATGTAACCCACCACCATCACTATACAATAAACACTTTTTTTATTGTTCTCATTTTCCAATTTAAAATATCTTGGTGATCCTGGCTGGGTTCTTTTATTTATTTATTTATTTTTGGTAAAGATTTAAGAATTGAGCATTAGCCGGGTGCTGGTGGCTAATGCTACTTGTGAGGCAGAGATCAGGAGTATCAAGGTTCAAAGGCAGCCCAAGGAAATAGTTCATGAGACCCTATCTTGAAAAAACCCATCACAGAAAAGGGCTGGTGGAGTGGCTCAAGGTATCAAGGTGTAGGCCCTGAGTTCCCAATATTGCCAAAGGAAAAAACAAAACAAAACAAAGAAGAATAAGAAGAATAAGACTTGAGCATTATAGATGGCCTCAGAACCTTAGGCATTCTGTGAATTTTAGGAAACATTCTATGAGACATTTTGCAGCACGGAAAGTGATCTCACTGAGGTGATGTTTCACGTGGACATTATGTGCTGTCTACTCTTCAAAGAGCCACAACTGAATCAAAAATTAGCAAAGCATATTTTAGGGTTATTTTTCCAGGAGTAGGAACATATTTGATTTGTTCACAATGTCTTCTCCTAGTCTTCTGGCACTGTTTGAAAGTATGTTGAGCAATAGCAAGGGTTCAATATGACCACAGTAGAGAGCAAAGCTGTGTTCTGGGCAAATGGCAGGTGACAGAGTGGAAAGAATCTCACACTGGAATCAGGAGTGGAATCATATCTTTTATGGCACCAGCTCTGCTATTAATTCACTGGGTGACACTGGGAGTTTCTGGATCATTATCTCATATGTTAAAGTAAGAAAATAGCTTCTAGCATTTGTATCAACAACAAAAACTTTTTCATATACTTTGTTGTACTAACTTTTGCACCTTAAAAACCGTTACCTCAAGTGCCTGAATTAACAATGGAAAACTGCCCAGATCTTTCTGTGGTCAAATGCACTCATTTCCATGAAGTCTTTGAAAATATAATGCTGCTAGAGCCCTCTTTACCCTCCAAAGCACCCTTGATTTCAGGACACAGCAGTCCTGAACCTCTTCAGCTCACTGAATAGCTCTGATAGCTGTACCTCATTACATCCCTGTCCTAACAAAGCACATTTTTGGAACATGACAATGATATATGTATCCTGTGACTAGATAGCGTGTATTTGTGACAGTTTTGTTGGTGGTAGGTAATACTCATTGATAAAATCTTAGAAAGTACGATTCAGTTAACAAGTACTCAGATGCACTTGTTATTGCTTTGTAGCTCTCATATATTCAGTTCATATATTCTTCTGAATCTAAGCCACCACCATCTCTTTACTGGAATGGCCTCCTTACTTGTGGTACATTGTATTTTCAAAAGGTGGCTGCAACAGTATCTCTCCCAGCCTCACTGGCCTTCTGAAGTGTGTCCCTTTTGCTCCCTTCTCAATAGGTGGTGTTTATTTCTCCACTCTCTTTAGTTTAGGTGAGTTCACATTGACCAATCAATATGGAGGAAGTGCTGCAATGTGGTGCCAGTTCCAAGTGAAGATCTGGGTGAAAGTTCCTACTTCCTTTCTCTTGGAAACAAACTTCCATGTAAGAAGTACAATTCCTTTCAGACCTGCAGACTGTGAGAAGCCCAAGCCACAGGGATAGGCCCCAGAAATTGAGTTGTCATGTAAAGAAGGAAAAGGGTGAAGGAGGACTTGGGTATCACGTCTGTGCCCATCTTGGAAGTATCCTCACCCGTGTTACAGCAGCTCATGTCTCAGGAATCTGCAGTTGAGTCTCTTCCACAGTTCCTGACCCACACAGTGGTGAGTAAACTAATATGGTAAAGTTAAGGTAGCAAGTTTCAGGTGTGGTTCTATAGCAATAGATAACCTAAACATCATTTTTGTCCTCCGATGATTTATTCTCCTTACCGGAGACAGTGACTCTTCAAAATTGTAAATAATTTGTTAATCCTTGGCTTAAGGGCACCAATGGCTTCCTGTTGCTCTTGGAATAAGATTCAGCTTTTTTGTTGCACACAGATTTTGGACCCTGTCTACCATACTTCCAATGGCCTTTGCCTCTTCCTTGAAAAACCCCAAGCAAGCTGCCCCTCAGATATTTTGTACTCACTTCCTGATCTAGACTCTGTCAAGCAGGTCCTAGCATAAGTGCAACCTTCCTTACAATGGTTCCTCAGCACCCAGTCAAAAGTAGTTCATTACATCAGGAAGTTTTATTTTCATCATTGCACTCAGCACTGCCTGATATGTTCTTGTTTATTTATTATGTCCCCCCCCTTCTAGAATAATCTCTCAGAGAGCAGAAACTTTTGCCTGCATTTTCCACCACATAAAAATATCACTTGACATTGTGCCTGACATAAAATAGATGCTCATTAATATATAGAATAAATGTTGTCATAAGCTAAAACTAATTTAGAAGGCACTCCCCTCCTGGCACAAAAACCTTTCTTTTATTTCACCTTGAACTTTTCCCTTGCCAACTGCTAATCATTCATTAACTTTTTTCTTTCATTCATATATCCAGCCAATAGACACTTGTCTGGCACCACAATATTGCAGGCACAAACATTTTTGCCTAGTCTGGCATGTGCTGTTGTGCCCCAGCTATTGGCTGTGATGGAGGTCTCTGGAAATTTTTTTGCCCAGGCTGGCCTCAAACTTCTATCCTCCTTATCTCAACCTCCCAAGTAGCTAGGATTATAGAGGTGAGCCACCAGCACACAGTTAATTTATCAATTTATTTTTATTAATAAATGTCAGATTTTTCTTACCCCCAAATCTATAAGAACATACACTATGTGCTTAACAGTGGTTTTCTATTTTTGTGTGTGTATGGGGCAGGGAGGGGGGGTATGAGAGAGAGAGATAAGAGGATTTATTAGGGATCTTCATTTCTGATGTTCTGTATTTGTTATAATAGTGCATTTGTATAAGTACGCCTTCCTTTTGTAAAATCAAAACAACAGCAACAAAAAATATCCAAACATTAAAAACATTTTAAGCAGCCAAGTATCATCTTAGATTCAGGGGGTCTACTAAAAACATGGACTCTTTTCCAAGAGCAAACTATTTTGGAATATAGGAG